GGCTTGCGCCTTTTGAGCCTTTCCATTTTGTAATTCAGTCGGATAACGGAAGCAACAGTCTTCTTGACTTCATTTTAAGATTTTGAAAATGATTTACGGCTCGAACATTACTTGATGATCCATCACGAGACACGGGACTGAACCCTTAATTTTACCAAAATAATCCACGGAATGTTTAAAAGTTGAAATACATTGATCGTCCCCAGAATGCGATTCGCGAGAGCTATAAGGATCCACCATCAGAAACGTCGACGCGCCCAAGAGGCCTTTTCTGCCAGCTGAAGTCTTATCTTTAACACAAAACTAGGAGCAGTGCCGTAAACATCGCAAGGAAGACTATCGAAACGCCTTCAAGACAGGCAGGATACCATCAGCACATCCCAGATGCTCGAATAGTTGTATCTGCGAGAAATAAGGAAAAAATTAACAATTCAGTTGCTAAAAAAAGTGGCTGCAATGTTTCAAAGGTACATTTTACAATAGCGAAAAGCTAATTTAACCATGGGCTCGGTTATTTAACATTTTTTTTGTTGTAAAATCTACATTGAGACATTGCAGTCACTTTTTTACAAGAAAATTCAAAAATTAGCAATTTAATTTTTTCCGTACTCTACTTATTAAGAGGCTTGCCTTGAGAAGCTCTGTAAGTTCTAAATAAATTATCCGCACCGGAAAAAAATAGAACATTGGGTCTAGAGTCCAGACTCTTGAAAACATTGACAAGAAAAAATACTCTTGATTCAATCGGATTTTTACTTGAGTCAAAACGAAATCCGCTTCGATTAAGAGGCTTGGTTCTTGATTTAAGCTAGATTCTGATTGAATCAAGAGTACTTTTTCTTGTCGATGTTTTTAAGAGTCTGGACTCTAGATCCAATGTTTTTTTTTCCAGTGCGTCACCAGAAATTGTTCCTGTGAATAATGTTTAAAGAAATTAAGAAAGAACCAGCATTATTTTACCACCTTGTTACGTACCGTTCGAGTCGCACTTGTAGTGTTTTCTTCTCGTTTATTTCCATGCTCTCCGTGGACACTACTCGATGCCTGCTCGCAACGTGGATCCAGAACGGTCTATTTCACCGCGCCGATAAGCCCCCCCCCCCCCCNCGGGGGGGGGGGGGGGAGATCAGGAAGCTGATGGAAGCCACCCGAGGGACCGGTCGCTCGCGTGTCAACCTGCCGAGGTCATGGTTCACGACTCGCGGGCCCTCGTTCCGGCCTGCGTCCTTAATTCTAATTGGAGGCGTCGTGAATTGCGGTTCCCCCGCCCGACGCTCCGGGCCCCCACCGGTCCCCCACCGGTCCCCCAGGCAGCTTGGCGCCGCGCCGCACAGTGGATCGAGTCAATTAGAAAGGTCGGACAGTAAAGTTTTGACTACCCTAGTAGCAGAACCACAGAAGGAAAGGATAAATATTATGTACGAAAGTTAATTTTTTTATATAATGCATGCATTCAAAAGTGTTAAAAGTGAACATTTGTATGTAACCATCATATAAAAAAATGTTATACTTTTAGTGAGCTTTGCGCGAACATACTAAGAATTCCTCTAATTCGCGAAAAGCTCACGAAAATGAGACCTATTTTTTTTATATACTCGTTACATAAAAATGTTCACTTTTAACACTTTCGTATGCATGCGTTATATAAAAAAATAATAAATGTGTGTATAGAAAAAAATCACCTTATCTAGCTTTTATCATTTTCCATATATTACGGTAGGGTCTGAACTTTGATTTTTTTGTTATATAAGCGTTACACGTTTTTTTTATATAAAACGATCATTTAGATAACAGATATGTTTTTTTATACTTTTTTTTAGAAAAACAAAAATTTGTTCTGCTACTAGGGAAATTTCTAATTTTGAAACGTATTTTGTCACATTTTGAATTTCCAGGGGTGCTTACAGCAGAGAATTTCACGAGGAAACCAATGGAACCACTCTTAGAACATCTATGTTTTGTATGAAGGGAGTCATAAGCTTTTAAAGTTTCCTAAATCTGTCCGATCTCTCCTAATGACTCGATCCACTGTGCGCCGCGCCGTTGAATGAACCCTAACTGCACCCGCATCCATCGTAAAAACCTTTATGGAGCTAGACAAAATGTGTTCATATGTCGAAATTCAAACTGCAAATTTCAGCGAAAAATCCAATTTTGGGTCAACAGGGTGTATACTAATATTTCTTTTCGGATTTTCCTGAGTTTTCCTGAAGTTTTAAATGATTTCCTGATTTTTTGCGCAAAATTCTCACACTTGTTGACATTCAACATCGGCAAACCAACATCTTTGATGAAATAATGATGAAAGAACAAATATAAATGTGGTTTAATAATTTCAACTTCCGCCGCCGCGCCGCGCAGACCTCACCGTGTATGCTGCAATGCGTGAAGTATTCTGACAGTCTCGTAGGCGCTATGAGTTTCACGCTGACCGTACTTTGTTTGTACTACTGTTGTACTACCGTTTTTGGCGCATTGCGTGAAGTATTCATGCAGTCTTGTAGGCGCTAATATGTTTTACATTCCCACCGCCGCGCCGAGGGCTTCTCCTTTTCATCTCGAGTCCTTGTCATTTCACTCTAAGTCGCGCCGTTCCAGGCCAAATTGCGTGTTTGGTTTCTCTCTTAACTCGACTAATTAAAGGTGCTGTCTCTTGTACCACTGAAAGATGGCAATATTAGAAACTACTATACTTTCAGGAAATGAGAGAAGATGTCGTCGCCTTTTCTCGTTTGTATTTTTTTTTCATACCAACCTACTTTTAAAAAATTGCAAAATATGCCGCCATGGGCCGCGGCCCATGTGGCCACTGCCACCCCCTTATGCTTAATTCGGCCCTGTAAGAATATATGTATAACAGGGCTCACGTCATAATGCACATAGTACTGTTTGACAGAAATACGTCCAGTTGGAAACTTTTTTTTGGAAAAAAAACGTCTTTTCATCCAACAACCCCTTGCTCTTTTTTCCCGTGTAGGGCTATCGCAAGGAGTACACACTGCTTCACGGTATACATGACCCAAACTCATAACATATGTACTTCAAAAAATGTACGTTTGCCGGCATGACGTGGACATATGCGTTTTCTGCTCATCACCCCATTGTGTACTTTCTCTACGGTCGCAATATTTCATTCGTCAAAAAACGGAAAAAATAGAAATCCGCGACTGGGTACTTCCGTTTCATCTAAACAGATTTCGCACACCAGTCCTGCCTGCGCAAGAACCTCTCGATTGAACTCAATTCGAATCGTGCGAGTTGGACTCCTCCCTCATCGGTTTCCAATGCACTTCTCCAATCTCTAATAGATCAATTTTTATTGCGGCTTCAATTGATCCTCGGCGCAGCCTCCCGTGGGAGGAATTACTCATCCTCCCGACGCACAATGGCTCGAGTTAATTAGAGAGGACGGACATAATATTATTGACTGAAACTGAAAATTTTGATGTTTCTTTCGTCACAATTTAAATTCTAAGGGTTGCCTTCAGAAGAAAACTTTACGAGGAAACCAGTGGAACCACTTTTAGAACCTCAAAAGTTTGTGTAAACGGAGTTTTAAGCTTCTAAAGTTTCCAAATTTTGTCCGACTTCTCCTGTTGACTCGATCCACTGTGCGGCGACAACACATGCAGCATGCACCCGTCGACCCGAATGTGGGTGCCGCGTGGCCAGGTGAAGCAGAATCGCCTGCCAATTTTCGTGGGAGTTGCGAAAATTCGCGAGCAATTCTCGACCTATTGCGGTCAGAGATAATATATTTTAGGGACCTCACACTACAATCTTCTCTAGGGTGTAAAATATACTTTTGAAAGTCGCCGCTTAGATTCGCCTAATGATAACTCGTGATCAAGGAGTGAAGCCATTGGTTTAAAAATTGCAGCCTAATTTACAAAAACTTGCCTAGCAAAGTACCAAAATTCACGAGTCATCATTTGGCGAATTTTGTTTGATTTTTTGCTCACGATGAATACAAAGCGATCCTATTATATTAGTTAGTGTATTACTTACCCAGGGCCGGATTTAGGGGGAGGCCACATGGGCCGCGGCCCATGGCGACTTTAGGGGGCAGCAAATATTGCAATTTTTTAATGTAGGTATAAAGAGAATTGGATTCAGAAAAAAAATTACAAACGGTAAAAGGCGACAAAACCTCTCATTTCCTGAGAGTATAGTAATTCGTAATTTTGTCTTCTTTCGCTGATACAAGAGACAGCGCCTTCAATTAGTCGAGTTAAGAGAGAAACCAAGCGCATGATGACGAGGACTTGAGATGAAAAGGACAAGCCTTCGGCGCGGCGATCGGCATGTAACACATATTAGCGCCTACAAGACTGCAGGAATACTTCACGCATTGCGTCAAACATAGTGCGTTCAGCAGCGGCGGTCGTTGTAAAACGCATGGCGCCTACAAGACTGTAGGAATGCTTCACGCATTGCGCCAAACACAGTGCGGTCAGCGCGGCGCGGTGGCGGAAGTTTAAATCATCAAACCACACTTATGTTTAGTCTTTCATAATTTTTTCGTGCATTTCTCATAAATGGAAGGCCTTGTCTTTCTTCACAGAGATAAGTTTACGGAATTTTAGCTTTCGCGCAAAGCTCCGTGAACTTTTGCTAGTAGTGTTGATAGAGCTTTTGCAAAAAATGTATCCAACGCACGAGTAAACGCGTCTTATGCACCTCTCCCCTTCCGGCACGTTCTTTTGATAGTTTTTATTGATTTTCCAAAACGAATGAGAAGGAGGCGGCAAAATACAGGTGGTCCATGGGCGGCAAGTAAATAAATTCGGCCCTGTACTTACCTCCTTTGTCCTATGTAACCTCCCACTTCTACCAATAGAATCGCTCCATTTCCCTCAGTCTTCTTGTCTACCAATGGGCCAATCGCGCTGGTCCCAGAATCGTGTTTTGATGCTTAATTCTTGTAGTTTAGCTAAAAGTTTACTGGAAGTCCACTTTACTGGAAATCTAACGATTCTCGTCTTCGCTCTCTGTTTCAGCACGGACAGCGGGTGGGACAACCCGTTCAGGCCGGACGGCGACCTCTCCCGGGAGGCGGACCAGATCGTGGAGCTCATCAAGGGCGGGAAGCCGATCACGCCGACGCCGGGCCTCACGCCGCAGCTCCCGTCGCAGCCGCCCGCCCCCGCCGGCGCCGCCAACGGGACGCCCCTCAAGAACGGGAGCGCCGGCGCCCCCGCGGACAAGAAGACGCCCCCCGGCGGCGTGGAGGTCCAGCGAGGCACCGCCGGCACCCCCGGCGACGTCGAGCACATCGTCATCAAGAAGAAGCCCAAGTGTCAGTGCTGCGTCATCCTGTAACCGAGACTCACCCAGGAGGAGGCGGACCCGCCCGGCGGCCCAAGTCCAAGGCGGAGGTTCTTCGGGCATCAGTATGGTTGCCCGCATTTTGAGGTTCTCGTCTGAACGCAGCGCCCCTCCAAGTGGTTATGTTGTCGCCTGTGCTCATAGAGAAAAAAAAGGAGGTGTTTGCATCTTGAGGATTTGTACCCACCTACGTCATCAATGTAAACAAGACGCTCGTTGAGGGTTATGTTGACGCTGTAAAAACGGACCATAATGTCCGATTTTTTTACTTAAATCAACTCTTTATTTAATTTCAAGCACTTTTTATAGAATGACTTTTTCCCTTAAATTACACCATTTCCAAGAAAATCGACAGGATAAAAACGTCGCTGTACCCAATGACGTCATCAAAGCTATAGATACTCTATGAAAAATTCCAAGATGCCCGAAATGCAAACACCTCCTTTTTTTTCTCTATGGCCTGTGCTTAGCTAGGACGAACTAGACTCCCTTTATACTGAGAGTCAAGACAATGTGAATCCACTTCTGATTGGTTAGCGTATTTTAGGCCTTCACTGTGTCACAAACGGGAATAAAGATTACATTTTCACCGATTGCAAAGATTATAATCTGGAATGGACCGAGGAATTTCGGGTTCGGCAAGGAACAAACGGAATGAGAGAAGGAACGGAGAAAGGAATTTAAGAATGAGCCGATCAAAGATTACGAAAAACGTTCAATTTGTGTAATCTTTATTCCCGTTTGTGACTCCATGAGGGGTGTTGTCTTGACTCTCAGTATAAAGGGACTCTAGCAAGGATGAACGAGCACTCTGCCGTGCTGAGGAAGAAGGCCGTATCGTCGTCTCCCGCACAAAGGAACGTAACTCCATTCCAAGTTTGCCAAATTGACTCAAATAATTAACTTAATTCACAAAAATATATGTGTCACTGGAAAAAAAAGAAACACATTGGATCTAGAGTCCAGACTCTTGAAAACATTGACAAGAAAAAGTACTCTTGATTCAATCGGATTTAAGCTTAAATCAAAAGGAACTCCGCTCAAATTAAGAGGCTTGGTTCTTGATTTAAGCGAAAATCCGATTGAATCAAGAGTATTTTTTCTTGTCGATGTTTTTAAGAGTCTGGGCTCTAGATCCAATGAGCTTTTTTTCCAGTGGTGCAATGTTTATCCAAAATTCATCTCATTTTTGCATTAAATTTGAGGGAAAAGTCAGTGAAATTTTTGGTCAGGAATGCCCAAGATTCTTCTAGTTAAAAAGCAATTTATCAGGAGTAATTTGGCATCATTGAATTGGAGTTACGTTCATTCGTCAAAAGAACGACGATATGAGCCTTTAGACGTTGCCATGTTTCCTTCGATTAAAACCGAATTTACTGAGGAAATTGTGAATATTATGTTCCACAATTTTCATACAATTTTGCACGCAATTTCATCTGAAAGATCTGAAAATTTCAAGGACAAATTTGCATAAATGTTGTTTAAAATAAATGTTTTATCAAGGGAAATTTGGCAACTCTCGAATGTTCATACGGCGTTCTTCCTTTGCACGGCAGCATGGAGTAAATGGTGAAGGGGTGTCTTCGAACATGGTGAAGATGTTGTAGTCCGTATTGAGAGCATGGCCAGGCATAACACAGCCCATTAAGAATGGTTTATTTGGACCACCATAATATTTAAGCTCTTGAAAGCGGAATTGCTGAGTTGAATCCACAAAACTTTTACTTGTTAACTACTGAGTAGACCTTTCTAAAGAAAATACGCAGCTGATCTGTAATTATTTAATGTGACATTTGAAGGAAAAAATGGTTGTGTTGGATTTACATTATATCTCTGCTTTTTCAGGCTTCAGCATTGGTAATTGCATTTGCGTTAATATCAAAAAAGACTGGAATACTTACGCTAATGTTGAGTCTTTTATAGGCTTCCATCGTATCAAAGATTTTGCTGATTTTTTGTGCAAATACGGTATTAATTTCTCGTGCAATAACCATTAAAGGCGCTCTTTGTAAACCATTCTTTTCCATCCATTCACCAAGCGTTTAGTTTTTAATGGGTACCATAACTGCATGGAGTCGTAGAATTGTAAGGACAGGCATGAACATTTCTTTAGCAGATTTTTCATCATGTTCAGTACACTGGTTCAGTGTGCTAAGGTTTGAACCAGCCTAGATGCACTAATTTGTGTTTCAGAAAAACTAGAAAACACGATAGGTAAAATAAACCTCTTGATGGGCCGCTGCGTGAATCTCTCTGTGATCGTAAGTCTTATTTTAATTTTTTTTATTTATTTATTTATTCAAAAGCATGATCAGTGCTTTTTCTATGTCAAAAACTGAAAATCTCCAAATAATACGGTGATTTAATTCAAATCTAAATTTGTTTCCATGTTTATTCGTCCTAGTGCTTAGTCTTTCAATTGGCAAGGCTTGAACTGGATTAATTATCTGTTTTTTTTTAAAAAAAAAAAATCACCGCAGCTATCAAATTGTAAATTATTGTAGAATAACGTTTTTAATTTTATTTTGTACAAGGGATTGGCCCTCATGTTGTTAATTTGTAGTCATGTAAATGATCGATCGAAGAGAAGTTTGCAAAGATTTGTTTGATCATTATTGATTTTGTTTTTAAAAAAGTGGCCACTTCGTGGTTATTATTCTTTTACCTCATCTAATCTTAGTCAAAAAATTTGTGACCCTTGGTTGGACTGTCCCAAGTGACAATAAGTGGTGTATGCGCACCATAAGTACCTACCTAAAGCCCCCCCCCCCCACTGTGTATAAGGTTCTAATCCTCGTATCATTGTATCGGAAGCCTCTTTTGTTAATTATTTGACTTTCTAAAAAAAAGTATCAAAACCTGAGGTGATATCGATTCATCGGTCAGGGCATTTTTTTTTAAAAAAAAAAAAACCCCCATCAATTTTATGAATTATTAAGTCACATGAAATTAATCTTTTCCTTGGGATGATTCAATGAAGGTTTCAACGTAAGGCCCCTCAATCATGTCATGACCACAGTTTTCGAAGTGATTTTAATTTTAGCCCCGGCATCATTTAAAATTTTGATTTAAACAGATTTATAATTCTACGTACAAAGATTTTTAAAAAAATGAATAATTTTTAAGAGGGTATCATGAACTCCCAGGAAGCACTGCGATACTTGAGCCAGTATAGTTGGATGGGTGATTTTGTGCCTGAAAACAACTGAATTTTGTGAGGAGTTTTCAAATTTTTAATTGTGATAGAATTGCTCAGAGAAGCGTCATCCATAAGTTGAACCTAATCAATGAGTTATTGTTCTTGTCTCGTTGTTCGAGAAACTTTTTAATAGCCACTACCCACCAGAGATACATTTTTATTGGAAGAGGGGAAACGGAGTAAAGGGAACGCAGGAAAAAATAAGAAAAAAACTCATGTTAAGACCATAAGTACAAGAAAAACTGCATCGATAAGTAATAAATTTCGCGTGAATCAAGAACCGCAAAGTGTTTATTTTTTGGACCTATCACGTATGCGTTCTCGAAATCTTCTGCCCTCATTTACATCTAAGCCTTCCAAACTTTATTTCCAACTTGGTCAAATTTTGCAAGACTAAAATATGAAATAGTCAAGGAAATTATTTTTCTGTTCGTCTCTTGCAAAAGCTTCATCTATTTGTGTCAGATCTTAATCCAGATAAAATTAATCACAGAATGGATCAAAATTGAAATCGCCAAATTGAAAATATTTTCAACCAAGAGGTAAAGCAATGAAAGATACGGACGCTATGCTTGGGTCCTTAGTTAGTTCGCCAAGGTTATTTCTCTATTTTTGTTGAATGTTTTTGCCTTAGATTTTTCCTCGCCCGGCTGACAAAAAGGCGTAACTGCACATAGATAATTTTGCAAGTTGGCAACATTGGTTTTCCTTTATTCAAATCCATTAAAAATATCGATTTCTCACTAAGGATCGACTTTTCTACATACATTTAAATGGAGGAAAAACAGTGTTGCCAACTGTCAAGAATCGTCCCTGCACATTGAGATGAGCCCGGAAGAACATGAAATGGTGAAGACAACAGGGTTCATTGCAGAGCTCAGTTACGCCGTTACGTCAGGGGGGGTAACGTATTTTTCTCCCACAAACAAGTGTATACCTTGTTGCAGTTTTTTATTTGATCACTGTGTATAACCTCAAATAAATGCACTGTAGTACGATACTGATAACACTATTTTTAATTTTCGTCGTGTTAAAGTACAATCTTGGACATTTGAACATATTGTAAGCAGATTCTATTTATGTTGTCTAATGTCTAACCAAAGCACTAAAGTTACCTCATCATGCTAACAAACGCTGTCGTTTTTGAACATCATTATTGTCGGAGTCTCGATCATCACATTCAGTGGCGTGGCGTGCTTTGCGATATATCGATTAATCTATCATTTAAACCTATGGAAAAGGATCGATTAACAGGGTGTTCGCTGCGAACACCTCAATAATCGATTCTTTACCACGGATTCAAATGGGGAAACATCGATAGTCGATCATTCACGCCACGCCACTGATCACATTGGGCTGCACTCTTTCTCCCCTCTTTTTTTCTTCTTGGTGGGGCGGTAAAAAGTTCTATGATGAGGTTATCCACCTCTCGAAATTTCTGTAGTTGCTGTCGAAATTTGTTTTACGAGCCAGCAATGGACCCCTCAAAAAACGCTCTGAGCCTGAGATCTGCAACAGACTTCAGGACGTACTATTCAAATTTGGGGTCCTAGGATCGAGGCCATTAAATTTTGGAAATATTTATTTTGCTCTAAAACTTCGAACTGATTATCTCCCACATGTTGCTCTGTCTGATGAGCCACAAATTGTCTTCTCCCACGCGAAGTAATGTATCTCGATTGCACTGTCTCAATATTTCTTAATTACATTTTATTTGTTTTTAGAAGAACCGTCACAAGAATTTACCTGAAGTTTCTAGTGATTTTTCTTTACTTTTGCGAGAAGACTTTGAAATTTTTGAACCAATGTGTCCGACGGTCCTCCCATTGAAAAAATAAAATGTTCGTAAAAGTAACGAAAAAGCTCAGACAAACTGCGTTCCTTCGCACCGGAGACAACGAAATGTGAACTATCAGCCCCTCACCAAGTAAGAACAC